CACCTTCGCCCCGGCCCCTCCGATTCCTCAGAAACACACACGGTCATCTGTCAGAAGTTCATCCTCAAGTCGTCATTACCAAGATCAAATTTTCGCTCTGCCTCACCCTTGTCATTGAATAGTAGTGACAAGCGAAGGCTGATGGTGATGCCTAAAAAAAACAAAAAACAAAAAGTGGAATCCAAAATTACTTTTGCACCAACTGTCAAAAGTGAATATGCATTAATATTGCATTGCGTCAAAGCACCACTTTTGTGTTAAACCTCCTCATCTCACTTCGGCTTAGTTCCTTGGCACCAAAATTCCATAAGATGGCGCCCAAGCAACAAAAGTCTAAAACAAAAAAGTAGTTTTTAAACATGTGACTGGAGTGTTCCTTTAACCTGCCGCGCATGTTTTCGGAATGCGGGAGGAAACCGGAGTACCCGTAGAAAACCCACGGGCAAAACATGCACACAGGAAGGCCGTAGCCGGAATCGAACCCTGCACCTCTGCGCTGTGAGGCCGACGTGCTAACCAGTTGCCCATCGTGCCGCCTCCTACCAGTATCTGTCTGAAAGAAAAAAAAAAAAGTGGTCTCAAACATCCCTCGTGGTTTGCTAGCCGCAGCTTTTAGCGAACTCGTACCCTGTAAGCGTTTGTTTTTGAGTGTATTAAGATGGTAATTGCACATCTGTGGACATTTTTGTGCCACTCTTCGCTCAACAGACAAGCCCTCAACATGATTTAGGAGTGAGTCACTATTCAGAGGTAAGGTGTGTCTCTTAAAAAAAAAAAAAAAAAAAAAGAAGGCTTTTCTCTGTGAAAACAAAATGCCAAACGAAGCCTGATTCAATTAAAATGAAGAGTGGCGGCGTTTTCCAAGTTTCTTTTGAAACCTTCAGTCCCCTTTGCTCTGTTAACCCAGTAATCTCTGACCTGATTAGGTCAGTATTGATTAGAAAAGAAGAGTGGAATGGTCAAATTAACGTAGTATTTATCCAGAGCCACGTGCTTGGAATGTACAGTGCTCCCCGTGGCCCCGCCCACAGGTTCATGTCTGCACAAAGCTGCTTACACCTTTCTTGTCGTGACCGCGGGGGAGTGCTCTCAAACATACGTGCGCCGCAGCTTTTTCCCAAGCCAGCCGAGCAGGATTTAGGCGGAGGAGACGCGTTGGTGATAGCACCTCACAGCTCAGGCGTGGCATTAAGGTGGGCCTTTCGAGGCTCCGCTCGATAGCCTTCAGTCCATCTGACAGCTCGCGGGAGATAAGCGACATCATGGAGGTTATCCGAGCAGAGACGGCGTGAAGGTAAGAGAGGAATGAAACGTTGGCAAAGTGGGGGTTGGGGGTGGTGGGAGAGCAAGGCCCGTTCGTCACACCTGCTCTCCACATTTTTTTTTTTTACGCCTTATGTCTAAAATACTGCGGCTCGGCAGTCACGCAATCTTTCCTCAAGTTGCAAGAAGAGGTTGAAGTTTGTTTTGGCTATGGAGTGGAGAGACTGACGTGTTGGAGCTTGTGCAGTGTCGTTGAACAACTTGGTGGTGCACTAAATTGTTCTCCTGTTTGGGAAAGAAAATGCTGTGTCAGGGTGTATGAGATGAAGGGAAAATGCCAAGTTTGGTTTTTTTATTTATTATCTCTTAATTCTTGTTTATTTTTAACGTAAATTTACTCTGACTCGGTTCATGCCAGCTGGAACCAAATGTTTGGAATGTGAGGACTTTGCCTTTCTGCTCTCCAAAAACTCCACTTATCAAATTGAGGCTTTCATGTAAACTATGCATATCCTACACGCGTCAGTCTTATTTGTAAACGATTTTAGAATTTTAAGTACTGGTACTAACTTGACTTGAATTCTATTAACACAGGCAATGTCATCAGAACTGAGCATTATTATTACTATTTTTTTTTTTTCTGTATCAGCATTTTTCTGATACGACTCTTGTATTCTTTGGCGTGGTCGGCGAGAATGTTTGTTTTCATGCTGTTTGCACGACTGAAGCGCAGCAGATCCGTGAATGATGAAAGCGGCAGGGCGACACGGGGACAGGAGGCGTTCTACTTCCTGGTCTGTAGTTGAGTACTTTTGTACCGTGCATTTCAACAGACTTGCTTGCGAGCATGGGGAGCCCCTGTCAAAGAGGCATCGGCGCTGCCAAACTGTGACATGTCTTGGCTGCTTTAACAAAACAAACAAACAAACAAACCGAGCATAAGACCGGTCACACCCTCTTCTTGGTGGCTGCCACCTGCTGAAGGTGCCGCGGGAAACGTCACTGTTCACTCAGAAGCCAGCCAATCGCAGGGTATATACGCCACAAACTGCCATTCACGCACGTTTTTCACACCTCTTGATTACATTGTTGCTGAAGGAAGACCGTCCAGAGCCCGTATTCAAACCCCAAACCTCAGAACTGGTGGGGCGGACGGAGGCCACTAAACCCTCAACAAATAATTCCAAAGCCAAATGTCAAATAAACAACCGAGGCCATGAAGTCAGGACTTTGTACAAGGCTGATGTTTCTCGAGCGGAAATATTTGCATTGTTTTGCTACTGTCTCTTCTCTTTTCAATTTCCTGGCATTCGTTCTTGATATTTAGTGATTCCTCACCAACATCTTCTAGGTGCTCCCCGACCACTCGTCGCTTTTCTGAAGTTTTTGTTGCCAAGCGGAATTGTAACCATATTAGTGAAGTTGAGCCAGAACATTAAAATTAGATTCATATTTATTTGGCAGATGTACTTTTATTTTTTAATTTAAAAACATTTTTTAGGCTGAATTTTTCATTCCACAAAAAAAAAAATTGGCTTTCATACTGGAATTCTTCCTTTGGAATAAGTCGGCGCCGACCAAAAAAAAAAAAAAAAAAAAAATCAATTAATCCGTCAATGCTTGCCGAAGTGAGCGCTCTTGAGATGTTGTAAAGCCCTGAAAATGTCTCGACTGCATTAGTTGAATTGAAATGCACAGAAGTGCTGATGCAGCTCCGTTTAAAACGTTTGGTACAGTAGTCCATGTGTGAGCCTTTTATTTTTTTGTGGCTTATGAGCTGTATATTTTGTCTTTCCATTGTTAACATAAGTGGTACTTAAAATAAATTCCACATTGGTCTTTTTCATTTATCCTGTTTGGTCAGTACCACATGTACACATACAATGAACAAGCAGCGGAGCGCTTTGCTGTTTGCTATGTGAAATAATTTCACTTCATCCTTTTAATGGGACACGGTTATGGAGACTGTTGCACTCCAGGATATTTAGTTGACTTGTTAAACTTACGATGAAGAAACCTTAAGCTACACTGTGTACATTTGCACAAGGCCCAGTTTTCCTACTTCACGCCTGTTCAACTTTGCTGCTGATACTTTGTGCGTTAACGACAGCTAGCTTCTGTCATTGCTGCAGTTGTGAGAGGCACGCGCTTCACCCGGATAGGATTGTGTCTGTTGCCCTAAAGCACCGTGAAAGACTTTCTTTCATTAGGTTGAAAAATATTGTTTCTGAGGGCGCCCTTGTAAATCACTCGGAGATCATACCATTTGCTCTGCTCTAAACCCCATAACTTTGCCATATATGAACATCAGCTAGCTTAATGCTAACACACAATGCAAAATGCGGCGAAACTTAGCGTCATTGTTGCGATGTTGTTACCCTTTAAGCAATGGATATTTGAACACAAATGGCACAGCAACACAGACAATAAAACATTACTGAGACATTCTTAATCTTCTGTGAAAAACTAATCTTTCTACCCAAATGTGTACATGATACTGCTCACTGGTGGAAAAATGTGTTATAAAAAAATTAGGTCCCTCAAAATCCTCTGAGGTTCATGGCCACGTCTTGGATCACATTCTGCATGACGGAAGATCGGATTCTGACATTGGAATGACTTGTATATTATACGAGTTCAGTGGAACTGTGAGATCCCACCATAACTGAGAATACGGTTTTGGGCTATCCTGTCCTCTTTTTCTGCGCGCAAAATGCCGATGACTCCTTAACTTAAAGGAACATTTGTAGAAATTAGTCAAAGTATTCACTGGGATAAACCGATAAGAGATTGGTTGCCACAATAGCATATCTACATCCACTGATTCAGTGATTTCATGGAAATGTATTTACAGACTGTTGACCCCCAGAGCAAGGCGAATAATCCCTTTCTAGACATGCCTCTGCGGAGCCTGTAACCTCGCATTGCTCAGATTCCACCGTACCCCCACATGAGACTTGAGTGGGTTATAATTCAGGACAAAAAAACTGGTTCATCTCTGGGACTGACTACATGCTCGGCTTGTCCATATTGCCACTGCTGGGGCCATGAGAGGATACTGTAAGGATATTAAATGGTCTATTTTTATTAGGGAATAAGTAAACATCTAATTTTTTTAAATAACTAGAAATGGTAATTCCTTGACATAAATTGTCAGTCCTTTTGGTGACCCGAACTGACAAAGACATTAAATAAGGTTCAACGCAGTTTTGCACTGCTATCACTTGAGAATATTACTTCTTTTACGGGTTAATAGAAGGTTTTACGATGGCATCAGTTCGAGGGTGGAACATGTCATTCTTTCTCTGCTTTTTTTTTTTTTTTTTTTAGTTATTTTTTTCCCCACCAGACTTCATTTTATTAAATGCATGTGAACGAGGAGAGACTAGCATAGCAATTTCGGACTAAATACTGTACTACAAATTCCCACCGTCACAAATCACCCACAGCTTTACTATTTAAACGCCATATTACCAATATCAACTGCTTTAATTGTCACGGGGAATTAAAAAAAAATATAACGTTTTTTTTTCGCGGTGGACGTCACGCATCATTCCTCATCGTATCAAAATTACGAAAGTGTGCGTGTGCTCGCGCGTGCGCGTTCGTGTGTGTGTGTTTTCTTTTTTTCCCCTTTTTTTAACCTTTCACTCGTTGTAGCAAACACTGGTCATGTGGAAAGGTTTGAAATTTCGCGTGTCTGTCTGTCTGTCTGTCACGTGCCTTCGGGGACTTTCTTAATACAGTTTCCCTTATGCGACCTTCAGATGGACTTCTGTCTGTCCATCTTTCTAAACGCTGCAGCAGTGTGTCCATGTGGTTCGCATGTCTGCCTCACAGTTCTTGTGCTTTGAGTTTGACTTGCGGCTGCTCGGGCTTCCTTCCGCATTCCAAAACCATGCTTTCAGACCACCCAGAAGACATAGAAGACCAGGCAAATACATACAAATGTATATTTGTATTGATTTTTTTAAAAACACATATTAGGTATTGGTTGCTGGAGCCTATCCCAGCTGACTCCGGGCGAAAGGCAGGTTGTACTTGCATTATGCTACTACTTTTTTTTAACAAGAAACTAGTGTCATGTTTACGGAAAAAATAAAAAATAAAGTAACCGTCCTAACCCTGCTCTTACGATCTGTTATGTATGGACATTTGCAGCCATGCCTTAGGGCTTAATAAGTAAAAACAGTACGCCCCGGTTATGTCCTCTTGATATCTTGTGACTACTTTGCCACGTTAACCTCAATGCTCTGTCTTGTGATGGAGCCACAGCCAGCCTCAAGGGGAACCAATTCAATCTGATTAGTATCTAAGATTGGGGATCATGATTCATTTATTTTCCCCCAAATATGTTGTATTGTCAGCTGCCTTAAAGCAGATTACCAAAATACTTTGCTAATTCAAAAACTACAACTAAATATCACATTTTTGTTCAACAACAGGGTGTCGACCAAAAGCAAAGCCCCATCCCCGCCGGGACTGAAGAATTTGGATTCCTGTGATTTCTCGCAGTGGTATCCAGGAAACGCTCCTTTCACCATGGACCACAAGGAGAAGCTGGTCGACAAAGATCTCTCTTTAGTGGTTGTTTTGCCGGATGGTGTGGAAAAGATGACCACAGTACACGGGAGGTAAATGCATCGGCATTGCACGTAAAAATATTGACAAACATGACACACTCACTGGACTACTTGCCCAAATGGTCTTGAAATCCAATTTTCACCCATCAGCTCTTTATGTAACAGCAAATCATTGACCCAGTTGATCGGGGGTTGTTTTTTTTTTCTCATTGTCTGACGCAAGATGGCCAATGTTTCTATTGTCAAATTTAGACTGAGCATCTCCCAACAGTGAGCTAACGCCATTCGTGTGTCACTACACCTTTAGCGTTCATAGAGCAACAACTCTACTTTGACTTTCCCTCCACAGTTTCACTCGCTCTCTCCCTTGGCCTCTCGAGAAACATCACACCAATCCCGATAGAAAGGATTACCCATCAAATGCTTTGCCTTAACTTCTCTTCTCTAAAAGCTGCTCTTAGCACCCTCACAGCAGTTGAGGGGATTTATCTTGTGGATTACATTCAAAGGCATTGTGTTCCAGTGCGATGCGACAGTTCAGAAAACGTCTTGACGTAAACTGTGGACACCTGGCGAGTGCACCCGACTCGACGCAAAATGGTTTTGAGGCTCCAATTTTAATATACTGTAATTTTTTTTTTCATTGAACCACAAAAACATGGCACGATTGTCATGGAAGAAGCAGACAAAGCGAAAATATGTGGTCGGGGAGGAAAGAGTGCGGCTATTTTGATCCATTGGCTCATTCACTGGCTGCACCTGTGCCACAGGAAGATATAAAAGTAACGTCGCCCTGCTGGACGGTTCAGTCGGATTCCACCGTGTCGCTCAGTGTGCAGTGGGCCTTCAGGGTACAAGATTGAACGCTCACAGAACACCGCACACTTGCTTCGGTCCCGGAGCTTTGCATGTTCTAACTGGTATAAGGAGGTTCCACCGCTCCTCTTTCCCGCCGGCCATGCAAATATTGTGTTGTGTGTCTTTCAGCAAGCCTCTAATGGATCTGTTAGTGACTCTCTGTGCGAGGTACCACCTCAACCCGTCAAGTTACACCTTGGAACTGATCACCGCCGGCCGGCACAACGTCAAACTCAAGCCCAGCGCTCTCATCGGAACCTTGCACGCGGAGAAGATCTTACTCAAACCTAAAGGCGACGATAAAAATAAGAAGACGGGTCCTCAAAAGCCTGAGGTGCATCTCGCCATCCCGAAAAGGGCGGCGCACTTATTTGCTGCTTGTGTTGCCTGAATCCGTTTAATCAAATATTCGGTCCCCCAGGCCACCGTTCGGATGGTGATAAACTACAAGAAGACCCAGAAAGCTATTTTAAGAGTCAATCCTCAGATCCCGCTGACTGAACTCTTACCCGCAATCTGTGAGAAATGTGAATTTGCAGAGGAGACAACAATTTTGTTGAGAGATGTGCAATCGCTGGCCCCTTTGGACTTGTCCTGCTCCCTAAATGATTATGCAATCCGGGAGGTTTACGCAAGAGATACAAGAGGTAAACTAGTGTACTTTGCTTCATATTTTGTCAGGACTTTGGGGGATTTGTCATACATTTACCGCGATTCACTTGCAGGACACGTCGACTCTCCTGCGTGTCCAGCTTCACCCACACATGCAGGTAGGAGGGGAGGGGGGCAATCTGTTTTCATCATTTTGTCATTTCTTTTTATTTTTTTTTCACTCTACTTGAAACTCCTCCACCTCACAAATGTCTTTTTTTCCCCAGTTGCAGTGACGCACGGCAAAGATAAAAATCAGAAAGAAAAAGAAAACAAGGGCCTCTTCAGCAAGTTTAGAAAGAGCAAGAAAACATCCGAGCAGGTATGTTTATTCACCCGTACGTATTCCGTACACTCGGTGGCTTCTTCGTGAGTCAGTGCAAGAGCGTTTACAAAAGATCCCGCTCATCTGGTGACATTTTTAGGGTGGTATGAGTTAAACCAGATGTTCCAACGTTACCGGTTGCAGTTAAGTGGCACTTATTTATTTTGGGCTTTTTAAAATGGGCCGCTGGTGTGACTGTGAAGTGCACGAGGTTACAATTCGACTGTATTCGTCGGTAAATGTAACTATTCAGAGGGAGGTTTGTTGACGAGGCTTTTCCATTGGTGGACCACGCGCCGTGCGGTTGTGGAGCAGAGGTCTTATCATGTCCCGATTGGATGTTTGCTTTTTAAAGGCCACGACAGTCAGTGCGCCGGCATCTCCGGTGCTCGTGAGCAAGCCTCGACCGCTCAGCATGGCCTTGCCCGGCTCCAGCTCACCACCTCCGCTTATGTCGCCGACGTCGCCTGTCGGCGATGCGCCCAAGAAGAGACGGGCGCCTCAGCCCCCCATCGTCGTGTCTCAAAGCTGCCACGCGGACCTCGGCACTCGCCAGAGGTTCTACTCCGAGCCTACGACAACATCAGGGGACTGTGAGGTCAGTCCGATTTTTTTTTTTTTTTTGTTTGTTTGTAAACAATGGGCTAAGCGATCCTGCCGCATTGTGGAAAAACTATTGCTTGACCTGAACTAAAACATCAAACGCTGAAGTGATGATTCAGGCCATTTTGCTCTTTTTTGGGGGGTGGGGGGATTGAGCTACCTTGGCCAAATAACATGTAAAAGTTTGTTTCGTTTGGTGCCATAATAGAAAGCATGATCAGCAATTCTTTAACTGACAGTAAGTAGACGTATCCAGTTGTAATGATTGTAGTTCTTTTTTTTTCCCCCCCAATGTGTTGTAGGTCTCCGGGTTAAGTTGCGGCTCCTCAGCAGAATCGTCATTGAAGAGAACCAAGCGCAAAGCGCCTCAACCCCCAACGTCGCCAAGTGGTGCCGCCCCAGAAACGGTTCCTCCTCAAGAAAATGTGCAAGGTTTGTATTTGTTGCATCCTTATACGTCTCCATAAACTTAATGAGAGTTTGGTCTTTTGGTGCCCATCCACCCAAACTTGGCTTCAGCCTGCTTATTCAGCTTCTTTTATGCGCCTCTTGCGCCCCCTGGTGGACGATATTCACCACTTCAGAGTGTGAGACGTTTGACCTTTCAATTGGATTTAATGAGTGAATTTAATCGCAATTCTTGAGCGTCTTTGTTGCAAAATGTCCCCGTTGTGTTGTTCACCTTTGAGTATATTGATTAACCAAGTCAACTTAGGTCATCAGTTAGGCCACTGATTGACAATTGAATGGAAATCTAATCGGTTAAATATTAAAAGCGACTTCAAGGAAGATGAAATAAATCAGGAATTTCTGGAAGCCAATTTTTGTCCTTGGATTTCAAAGGACCCCAAGTTTTCAAACCGTGTGTATTTATCCATGTGGTGCGGTGGAATTGTCTGCCTTTGGAGTTACTTTCCGGTAATTGTCCATACGCATTTTACCCTTATTGTATCGTCCTGTGAGGGAAGTTCCACCCAGGAGTGAACACAAAACAATAGAAAACAACAATAAGCCTATTTCAGCCTGGGTCTTTTGAAACAAACTTGGTGTGTTTACATCAGGGAAAAAAAAAATCGGTGTCGCCACCCTGAATTAACTGAGAGGAAGCTTGACCTCAGTGAGGCTCACTGCACCAAAATGACATTCCTCAACATGTCCTCATGTCTCCTCCGCTGATGTTTGAGTTGCATCGTCTTGTGCTGCACAGCAGATATCAACTTCACATGCTTGGTTGGACATACTCTGCTTTTGTTCGACTTGTCCTGGAATGACCCCCGCGCTTGTGATCTTTCCTTATCACCCACAGTTAGCAATATGCAGTCGGGAACCAATGGATTTCAATTGGATAGGAGTCCTCGCTTGTGAACATACCAGTCGTAAATTGCACAAATTCAAGAAAATTGCCGGCAAATTGGCCGAATGCTAACGTTGGTATTTATTCGCTGAGGCAAGTTCACATCTTCAGCATCTGCTTTCACAGATTCTGTCGGAGCTAAAACGCTGGAGGAGATCATGGAGGAGACGTCAGCTACTGCCAGCGAGATCCAGAGAGAAGACGCCAGTGTCAGCTCGATGTCCGACAAAGGCTGCGGGGTCGATCCGTCTCGTGATCTGTCCTCAGATGGCAAGTACGAACTCTTAAGATTTTTCAAAGCCAAACAGTTTTATGAATCATGATTGGGATTACTTTTAATTACGAAAATGTGCTTGATTCTGGCAGTCGGTCACAGAGCACCACGAGTGATTCGGCGATTCAGACCGTTGAAAAGACGCCAGCCGGCCCGGACTCATCTCAACTGGCTGGTATGGCTTTCGTGTGCCAAAATGACCTGTTTGGATTTTTCTTGCAAATGGAATAGTGTCTGGTGTTTTATTTTATTTTTTGTCATTAAAGTGCCGATTTCTAATGTATTAGCACGGACAAACATGCCCTCTTTTCCCAGCCGGATATGAAATTGTAAGACAAAGGTTGCTGTGTTTTACTCTGATGTTATCCTAAAATATTAATGTCAATGTTATGTGCTTCACTCGTAATGGATTTCCCAAGTTTGAAATGTTCTGTTGAATTGACAGGTAGTTCAGAATGAAAATAACCATCCTTTTTTTTTTATGGTACCATAGTTTCACAGATGGCTGAAACAAGTGCTGCAATTTTTGATTTGATACTGACAAGTCAGTATTCAAACATTCAAACTTTTTTTAGAAGATGACATGCAACTTACAACCGATGCAGGAGAACCAGTAGTGAATAGATTGCAAAATGTAATCAATTACAAAAACAAGGTTTCTGCAACCCGTCTCACACGGTGAACGCTTCTGTTTTACACAGCGAGCGTCTCGTGTCAAGTTGAAAGTGAACTTGAGGCGCCTGCAAGCCAGAGGGAAAAAGTTGACAGCGGGAATGTGACAAGTGAACTCCAGAACTGCCGGTCAGAAGATGAAGTCTGCCGTGCTGCTTCTGTTTGGGAACACATCATTGCCGCCGAGGAGGAGTCGCATGTTCTCAGCACGTCCCATCCCGCCGGCGAGGACGCTCAGGTGCAAACCGATTTCCCACCTCTCCCTGAGCCGCCGCGGCAACAACAGGAACGCACAGATCAAGCTCCGCCCTCTGCCAAGGAGCCCGGTTTCGAATCGTCGGACGGCGACAAGCAAGATATCGCCACGTCGGCGGGTGAGCCGCTCCGCAGCGACCTCAGATGCGCCCGAGCCCCCGAGACGTGCCGAACTCCGACGCCGCCCGTATCCCCGAAGGCCGCGCCCGACGCCGCCTCGCACCCCGAGCTGAAGCCGAAGCCTTCCAACGAGTTAACCAGGGACTACATCCCCAAGGTGGGGATGACGACGTACACCGTCGTGCCTCCGAAATCCAACGAGAAGCTGAGGTATTTCGAAGTGGCACTGACACTGGAAACGGCGCCCGTTGCCGCGGAAGACGTTAGCGAGCGCTCAAATGCACCCAGGGACCGAATACTGAGCAGCACTACTACTCCTACTACCACCACCAGCGCACTAAACACTGTCAACGGATGCCTCGCTGAAGCCACTCACGCCTCATCACCGAGCAGCTCGCCGAAAGCAGATGACGCTCTCCGCTCCTCTCAAGCAGGTTCACCAGGAGAGGTCAAGGCGACGAAAATTCCGCCCGCAACGAAACCAAAGCCGGGCTCTTTCCGCTTGTCAAAGCACAAAAAGACTCCTGGGTATTATGTAACCTCGGCAGCAGAGAAGAGCCCAGGTGCCAGTTCATCTCCTGGCCACATGGGGGATCAAGTAGACCGAGCACTGTTGCTGCCGCCGCCGCCGCCTCCTCCCCCCGTACAAGGCGACACCGAAGCAACCGCCATACAAGCGACGCGTGTGACAAGGCAGAGCAGTCTGCCGGCCAAAGAGCCGAGCTTCGGGCTAAGCTTGGAGAAGCTGAAGAGCTTTGCGGCCCCCAGGCCTTATTCCCCCTCCACGCCGTCCCGCTTCGCCCAGGCCGTGTCCTCGGCCGTGAAGCGGAGCCATTCGCTGTCGCTTCGGCCCAAACCAGACAGTTCTCCTCCGGTCACACCCTCTTGTCCTGCTGCAAATCGCTACTCGGTCATCGAGCGAAATGCGGGGAAAGAGTTCAAGGTGAGTTATGGTCACATCGCATAGCATTCACACGTTTGCCGATATAAAATCACCGGAGCACTTTCTGAGCTGTTCCTGCATTTCTTGCATAGGCATGATTCAAAGCTGGCAGATTGACTGATTTAAAAAAAAAAAAAACATTTTTTTTCTCTTACTTTCATTAAAAATAGCATTGTTACCCTGAGAGCCCCGTGACCCAACCCCTTTTTGTGTCGTATGGTGGCAGTGAACTCAGCTCAAGTCACTCCACAACATGCAGCAGTTTATCAGGTCCTGAAAATTTCTCTTTAAGAAAAAAAAGAAAAGAAAGCCTCAACCTTTTTTTTTTTTTCCTCTCCCAGTGGAAGTTTACTGTCAGAACCCCCCCCCCCCTGCCCCCAAACAACCATACTGTTTTGCTTCAGTCCGTTTAGCATAAAAATAACACATAACACGGCTAAAGAATAGCACAGGTGTTATCGTGTTAAAAATCCTCAAGTAACGGATATTCAGACACAAACAGCATGTAGACCAATGAAAGAATAACATTGTCTCACAGGCATATATTCTTTATCCTTTGCAAAGAACGAATATACCGTACTGCACCACACTGAGGAGCCAAGACGGCCACTAATGTACTGTCTATCCATCCGTACGTTTGTCTGACGGCCCCAAGGATCATCATGAGAATAAAGTCATCATTTTAATAACTGGGTATTTTTATTTTGACTCCAATATTAATGCAACAGTCTGAGGGCAGCAACTCATGTACCGTAATATGAAATATTTATGTAGTATTGGAAAAGCAGTGCGATCAAACGCGGCGTTCTTTTCTTTCCCGGCAACAGGTGTCAAAATCCAATTTTTTTTTTTTTCCCCTCTCTCAACACAGGTCGATGAGGTGATGAATGAAAAAGGAGTCGAAGGGCAACTAACGTCGCCGAGTGAGCTGCTGCGGACAGACGGAATGACAGAGTCCCCCATAGCGGTGCCTTATGACAAAATCTGATCTACTGTAAGGAACGTTTTCATTTCCGCGGGACGTACTGTAAATGTTTGCACATGACATTTCTCAATTCCAATTCTTTTTCTTTCAGGAGAGGAACATCCTGTTTTTTTTTGTTTTTTTTTGTTCCAGAAACCTTTTCGGCACAAGAGCCAAACGGTCTTTTTGTCTCGACCTCTTTTGATTGGCAGTGTATATCGATTTAATGTATGAATTGCTGTATTTTGCTTTATATTTGCTCCCATTTCAATAACGGCCTTCGGTTGACTTGCATAATTTAATATCTCTTTATTTTGTGCCATGTGCTGTCTTGCATTAAATGCATTACTGTTTTTGCCTGGACCGATACGTGAATAAGAAGCGATGCTATAAATTATAAAGATGATTTTCAGAGTTGCAAGAATGTCGTTGTATGACGGTTTATGTTGAATAAGTACCTACATATTGATTTATGATTTTGGGACGGACCGGGTTTGACTTGTGGTACTCATTGCCCCTCGTTTGCGTTGTTGATATTTAAAATGTGTTTTCACATGTTGATGTGAATAAACCTGAACTACGCACGTCGCTGTAGTCAAACAGTGTTGTAAGCAATAAAGCTTTTATCATTTCAACAGCTCCCATGGAAGTCCTTGGTGCATGTGTACAAGGCGACAGGTTTTTCCTGCACGAATTGCTGAAATCGGACACTGCAAACAATCGAGTGTACACTCGGCAAGGCGGGTGGCACATTTCGCGTCGCGCCCAAAGCACCCGACGGTCGCTCGCCACCACCGAGGAGGCGATGTGAACATTCGGACTTCCACGGGAAGCACCGCTTATGAGGAACAAGGTATGTGAACTTTTTTTTGGGGGGGGGGATTGCAGGTCAACAGCCAGTTTTATTCAGTGATGGCGTTGTGTCTTTCAACCAGTTTTTGACGCTGACGTCAAAAATTTCTTTTACCTTTTATCTCGCACATCACATCACAACATATTTTCAACCATACATGGTTTCAAATTCACATTCAGCCTGTCCAAAGATTGATACGGTTCATAGAGGCTGCATGAGAAGGAGCCTTTGATGGCATCGAAGGACCCAGCCTTCCAATTGTCTTCCTAGAATTTGGATTCCACCTGCGGTCAAGTTGCGCCAGATGTGACGTCATGTGGCCGAAAATGTGGCCTTTGGAGGACGCGGCCTGTGACATAAGCAATGCGAACCCGAGGGCATTTTGATGTCCATTGACAGCAGGAGGACTCAATGACATCATGCGCACCAAAACATCTTTTTTCGATTCTGATCGTGACCCGAGATTGATGAAAATCAATGGCTTCATCTGCCTTTTTCCTCTTTAAAATGTATCAAAATCATAAAATATTTAGTCGCTACCACACAGGTGGTCCGGAATGAAACGCCTACTGTGTTTACATGATGGTGATAAAAATTCCCTCGTTTGTTTTTCTTTACTTTGATTAGTGACGCTTGTAACTCCAAAAAAAAAAAAAAAACCCAGTGCAGCACGTTCTGTGCAAAGAGACAGATATTTAAAGCTAAAAGTACACATGTCACGCACCGCTTAAAGTTTATTGACTTTTCAATACAGACCCGATTAATCATTAGACACCACGCATCTACACGCTGCCTTCTTCAAATTGTTCTTTTGCTATGGAACGGTCTTTAATTCATATCAAAAGTCATCATGACCCCTACCACCACCGCATTCACACACAAACAAGTCGACTGCTGAGCTGGTTCTTTTTCTACGACCGCATACCTGCCACACTCTTTAGTATATGGTAGTTGGAAAGGCCAATGTGGATCCTTGTGCAAAGTCCAGCACGGAAGGGGGTTACCATGCAGTACAGTGCAGTAGTTTACGCAGTGCGCTGGAGTCGGTTGCACACCTGCCAACATTGAAAGTGCCTCTGACTCATTCCAAATCAAGTTCGGATGTTCTAGAATGCGTTCAATGACACTTTTTTGCTTTCTAGCAGAAGCACTAAGGGTTTTTTTTTTTTTTTTTTGACGGCCTTTGCTACGGCCCCAGTTTCCTTCCAGCTGAAGAATGCTCAATGTCAGTGGTTCATTCGGAACACGGATCTACCCCAATGATAAAAATGTGAGCGCACTTGCGCATCCATTTTTTTTAGGGTTGTACTTGTCAAAGACTTTTAGAAAATCAATCGAGCTATACAGCTAATGAGTCACATAAATTAAAAATGTTTTCGTACCACAAAAATCTGAACAGGGTGCGTCGTTCCTTAGCACCCTGACAACCACGAGACGGCGCCAAAACAAAACGTTTTATTGCTTGAACCTGTGCACAAAACAGCAACTAGGTGCATTTCACCTGATCTGCCAACATGCGACTTTTCAAATTCAGAAATATGTGTGTGCGGGGGGTCATTGTGTACAACAGTATGTTATGATTAAAAAAAAAAAAGTCTAACTTTTGAACAGTTTATTTTACTCCAATATTTTTAATGACATCAGTTGCGGTGACTCAATTCACCAATTATATGACGGGATAAATGAATAACTACAATTCACCACTTGAATGAATGGAAAAAAAAATCAAATCCATGCTCGTCGATCTGCATTAAATTGGCTAGTCAGTGCCATTAAAATGAACTGTGTGAAATGAAATGTGAAATATTTACAATAATAATACATTTTGAAAGCGCTTTTCATCGTACTCAGACACTTTACAAAAATAAACACAGGATAGAAAACCTTTATTCGTCTCACAATGGAGAAATTCCCAATTTATGAAAGCAAGAAAGTAAAAGAACAAAAAGTATCATCAGAGCTGCTGTAAAGGCAGCCACTCTCGAGGCGCCATCTTGAAGTCATAACAACAAAATAATCCAACACAACACATAAGACACAGCCAGTCATTCAATCTTAACCACTTTTCTGCCTCCTCTTTGTTGTTTGAAGCAGTTATCGATGAAAGAGGAGCGAATCAAAGTGTCCTTTCACCGGTGGATCGAGGACATCATGCTGAAAATGTGCAAATGTGGAAAAAGTCCCCCAATTTTTTTTTTAAAAAAGTTAATTTCACCGCTTGCTTTGTCACAGTGAGGGACGACGACGCACTGGCTAAGATATCTTTCTTGTGATGGCTGGATCACATTTATGTGGGAGGGGACGGCTTGCCCTACTGAGGCAGCCTTGTGTGGCGGCAGATGAGCCCGATGACTCATGTATACAGTATGCGTGAGTGGAGGAGCACCCTTACACAATCACACACTACAGTACACTCTCGCACTCGGTCGCTCCGGTCCTAACTGCTGGTCTCTTCTGACCCCCACCCCACCCCCCGCCCCCTCCCTCCTCTGCTACAGATGATGATGATGATGATGATAATGATGATGCCTTGGATTTAAGAGCGGTGATATGAATAACGCACCGGATGACTTATCTGGAAGCCTCGGAGCTAAAACGGAGATTTACCAGAGTGGCCCGAGTAATGGGAGTGAGGCTCTCGTCTCCTTGCAAGAGCCATTACTGACACCAAATGTCAAGAGGTCGCCCTGCGAATGCAACAGGTAGGACATTGTTGTTGTTTCGTGGGGGCAGGGGGACGACGGTGCGCCCTTGCAGGTGAATCTGATCCAAAATGCTGCAGAGAGAGTTTGTATGTAGACTTTGCACCTGCACTGAGCTCACCCGACGTCACGCCAAGTAATGAGGGATTATTTCAACAGCAAAAGTCAAATCTGTTGGTTTGCGGGAGATCGCGAGTTACTCAGTAACTGCGCTGTTTGCAGAGTGGCCCGGAAAGTCAAGAGAGGAACATGTTACATTAGGAAGAAGAAGAAAATAAAAAGTCAAAGTCAAGTCAGAGGCGATGCTAGTTCAGGGGTGGGCAAACTTTTTTTTTTTTTTAAACAAAAGGAGTCAGGTGATTCATAGACGAGGTAAACAATTTTTAATGAATAATTCTTAGAATTTAATGATGCTGTATATTTCACCAATTCTTATTTTAAGACGACATTTACAACTGCAAGTTGTGCTTTTGACTATTTCCGCACACTGAACAAGTGTGAAAAATATTTCCTCCAGTATTGCGATTTCATATGCGATCTTTTTTTTTTTTTCTTTTCAAGGCCCTCTTTCGATGTATTTTTGACTCCATTGATTCTGTTCACCAGGTTGAAAAAACAGCCCAGAGAAGAGACACCTGGTCCACCTGCAGCTCTTCCCGAAGCGGTTGCTCCTACTCTGTCGCACTCCGCGCCTGGCTCGTTTTTACCTTGGACCAAGACAAGTGCAACTCAGGTAAATTCGATTTCATTCATATGTCAGTTTGGTTGATTTGGCTTCCTTGCACGTTCCAAAAACATGCATGTTGGGTTCATTGAAGACAAAGTTGTCCAAAGAATCTGGTAATGGTAATATGCATTTTATGTACAGTAAGGTGTGTACAAAAAAAAAAAAAAAAAAGAGTGCAAAAGGATATTGCAGTTAACAAATTTTACCACTAGATGGCGTAGTTACATTCTAATGGCCTTATCAGCTGAGCGCATTCAGGAGCTGTGATACGTTGAGTTCATTTATGACCATTTATTTTGTTGTTTGTACCCACTTTCCCGAAGAAAAAGAAGCCATTTTTCAAATTAGCTCAACCAAATCGTTGTGTGTAACTTCACCAGAGGCAGATTCATATCCACAAAGACAAATTTAGCTTCAATACACGAGTTAGACTTGGGGAGTTAGTTTGCAACAAAGTGGCTCCTCTCAGGCCAAAAAAAAAAAAAACCCGGCTAAGTTTGAGTACATTCCAAATCAAATCAATTGGTTGTGTTGAAATGATCAACAATTTAGAAACATATGTTCAATGGAATCAAATGGCAGTGCGAATAAATACCAAACAAATATGCCAACTATCGAGGAACACTCCCTGCCAGAGCTCGTAACCAAACACATTCTTACACGATGTCTCTCTGACAGTTTAAATGCTGCTTGCGTTTGTCATAAGGAGAAAAAAAAAAAAAAAAGGATGTCATTTTCCAGGGTTGTAAATGTTGTACAAAGCCCCAATCTGTCACGCTACAGCATATGAACTGCAATTAGATGCTGATTCCATTCAACACGTCCTTCTAATTTCGGAGTAACTATACATTCTTTATGCAAATGAATCAAATGTCAAGTCAAGTTTTTGTTAACCCTTTCATGCACCCTGTAACCTGATAACATGATAAGCTGTCCGCCGTAGTAACCGCTGTCCCTGAAAGGGTTAAACCTCACATGTAATTTTTTTTTGGTGTGGCATGTGCGGAGCAAGCCGGAGAAAAAAAACTCGTGAGGTCCACGCTCGAGGGCCAGCGATGAGCTTTGAAAACAGAAATTCTTGACAGCGAAGCAAACGTGCTAACCCGCAGTCATATTAGTTGTTCTTTGCAGTGGATCAAGAATATATGCCTGTTAGTATTGTTATGTCTGTCAACATGTGTTGCTCCTCTGTTTGTATTCAAATATGTGTTGCTTTAAGGGGTATAAGATGACACAGATGTTTCGCATTAGCCAGTCCATACTGTTTTTTAATTTGTATATTTTTAATTATTAAAAAAAAAAAAACAATTTGCATTAAAAAAGCTATCCATAAGGCACAGTTATGTCTTTCAT